CCATAACAGACTCTCCAGGTTATACGAGGGTCTGAATGAGGCCTCATATCTCGATTTTTTTCATTTTTTTTATCTACCTTTTCTATTTTTACGCAACATTTAAAAAACTTTAACATTTATCATTCTTCAATGTTGAGTTCTCAAGTTCATTATTCTAAACGTTAATACTTTAAGCATATGTTCTACTTTAAAGGATAAAACTAATTTATTCTTTAATTTCTTAGACCATTACATTGTATTCATTATTATACCCTGGTACAAATATACGCAGGAAAACAATTAAAAATGATGAAAATATTGTAGAGATGTATGAACTACAAAATTAAAACAAAACTACAAAGAGAAAAGTATAATATGATATCATTTTTAATGCCATCTTTTATCCATCATTACGTCTCAAGACTTGTTAAGGTTAACATTGATATGAAACGTATTGTAAGTAATTCAAGAAGAGGAAATATTAGAAGAATCTTTCATTGTACTAGTATGGGCTCACGATGGGGATGAACATGAACACATATATATACATAAATATTTTTTAATTTGCATATTCATACAATTATAATAATTGATTGCTTGATTATTACATGCAACGTCCAGTGGCAAATATTTCCTGCATAGTTTTTCCGAAAACAAAATAACAATTAGTATAAGAAGTAGGTTCTCCTAGTGGGTTGACGAGATGATGGGCGGAAAATTTGGATTGGCAGTAAAACATGGGGGTATGCTGGATAAGGGTTGAAATTTGGCCTTGAATCAGACTACCTAGTCAGACTCAAAGAGTTTTACAAGGGTTCTTTAGCGTGCAGATAGAAATAGATTACTCTTACGTATTACGTTCGTGCAAGAAATTAAAGAGAAGTAATGGACAAGATTTTAACCATGAAAGTGGAAAACAATAAAGAATATTGTGTAGATGCATACATGCGACAACTGACACAAAGTATACAGGTCGTTACCATATACTAAAGCTCTTTGATTGCCCTTTTTAGGGATGCTAGTTGTTGAAATTTGAAAGAAATCTACATTTTCATAAAAAAAAAAATTCAATCGACAATTTCTAAGGACATTATTGAAGAATAAAGATAGGTCTTAAGTGTTTTATTTTCGTCAAAAACATACAGGGACAAGACATTTATTTTGAAACTCACTTTGTATTTATCCCTCCCCCTTTTTATTCTCAAGGGGAAACAAACTATTATTTTCACTTCCCTTTTGAAACAATTGAGCAAATATTTTTATTTTTAATCCATGCCCCACAAGGGATGAAAAGTCGCTGCCTAATTGTATTTAAGATTTGTTTTTTTTTAATTTCGAGATATATGGACCAATGCTTTGTGTGTTTGTATGTTTGTACTTTTTATTTGGTATGCACGTCGATATAAGTAATTAAGCGTTCTTTCTATTGCTTCATTATTTAAAAAAAAAGAGATATGATATGTCGGACTGCCAATGAGAAAACTGTCCACCAGAGACCAAATGAAGTAGATGTTAGCAAATATGGGGTCACCGTACGGCTTTCAACAGAAAACCAACTGCCTGAACATTTTTTTACTTTTGCCGACCAGGAGTTCATTCCTTTAACATGACTCTAATAATTTAATAAAAACCCAGTTTTCTTGTTATCTTATATCTTGCCCAATATTCTCTATTCTGTAAATCCCATTTTGACCCTTATGTATTCCTCCTTGAAAATATTAAAAAAAAAACAATGAATGATTTGTTGTGATAAAATATATCCGCCATTTCAAAATTAGTTGGTGGGTAGAAGTCTCGAATAATTTACCAAACAACCCCCCCCCCCCTTTTCCCCCCTCCCAACCCATTTTGAACAACCTTAATGTCTGAACATTTTCCAATTAATTCTTATCGTATCGTCTTGTATACTTAAACAAAAACTATTTTACAATAGTTGCTGCTGAAAAAAATTAATTGATCATCTTAAGGTAAATTAACTGAATATGGTCTTCTTGGACTGTAAAATAGTAGTACACAATAGAACAGAGAATAGAAACGGGGAATGTGTCAAAGAGACAACAATCCAACTAAATACCAGAAACAGCCTCAGGCCACCAATGGGTGTACAACGCAGCGAGAAAATCCCGCATCCGGAGTCGGGCTTCAGCTGGCTCCTAAACAATAATGTTAACTAGTTCAGCGAAATGAACGCCACACTAAACTCCGAAACATACAAATGAACCAAAATTAAATAAACAGACAAGACTAACAAAGGCTAGAGGTTTCTGACTTGGGACAGGTGAAAAAAAATGCGGCGGGGTTAAACTTGTTTTGTGAGATCTCAACCCTCACCTATACATCTAGTCAATGTGGAATAAACAAACACACAGCAAAGCGAACAGTAAAATTAATTTTAAAAGAAGTCCGAATCCGATGTTAGAAAAGGTATTAAAAGAAACTAAGCAAAATAACAATAAAACCGGCTGGGTGTGTTTTAAGCCCTTGACTGGCTATTTAGCACTCGAACGGTCGGCTAGATACCCTTAGGCGTTTGGAGATTTTTAAATATTATAGTTGTCGATATCAAAGTTTGACTGGCCGTCCATTTTCGTTTTGCGATTGTTGATTTGGTTTCTTTACTATTTTGTTGTTAATAAACAGCTCTGCAATTCACAACGGCTCTGTTCAGGGCCAGGTAGGTCAGCTGGGCAGCACGCCAACCACGACGATGTAGTATTTGTCGATGAGTCGAAAACGTAGTATTAATGATTACAGTAAGCGTTATCAGGACAAATGTCGTGAGACGTTGAAGTGACGGTCCTTTATCCAACACCACGGATACAGGCCCCATGGACTTCAGAAAACCTGACCAAGCACGTCCGTTTAGCTGTAATGACTGAGACAATGAAACTATATATTAACAAAGGACTACTAGCAGTTACTGACATGCCAGCTCTACGGTCTAGTTCTTTGCCTAAATCCGCAGATTTTGAGACAGAATGGCAATTTATGTGTAAGACTGTTTATTAAGATAAAGAAAACTAGTGATTAATTGTATTATTTAGACTGTTTTTATAATTAAATACCAAATATTTGTGTTAGTTCAATTTAATGTTTCAACTTAGCCATGGATATAAGGGGAGATAACTTTTATATTAATTTTTTATAAAGGAATGTTAAAGATGTTTTTCTTTTTCAATTGTTGCAAGAAAAACAAGCCCAGTGACATAATTTTCTAGCACGGTGATCGATGGGGTCATACGTTTTATTAAATTTTAGAAAACAATCATTGTAAAATCTACATTTTTGCAAAGTGTACGAAAATTCTTTTTGAGTATTTGAGGAAATATTTAGTGATGATTCACCAGTAAAAATGTCTCATTCGACGTTAAATCTCAGCACAGCCCTACTTTTCGAAAAGAAAATGGTTGGTGCCTAATGGATAATTTCCGTAGTTCAACAGATTTTTAAAGTGTGTTGAGTAGATATACTGATGGACAACGTTTCATAGATCACAATGTAGAGAAATTAAGTACTATGTCACATTTCCATACACTTCATATTAATTGACTATATTAAACCTAGAACGGAAATTGTTGAAGATAAAATTGAGAATGGAAATGGGGAGTACAAAGGATTCAATAATACAATGAATGACTTTTGACATCACATTCTTTGTTTTGAATGAATGTGTAATATAGAATTAACGATATATGAAATAGATTTAACTTTTGACTCTCTTTTGGGGTATATTATATACAAGACATTGTATTTTTTTTAAAAACTTAATTGACAGTATCGAGGTACAAATTAAATATTTGTCATGCACTTGGTATTAATTTAACCATCCATAGTAAAGTAAAACGAAGGATTGACGGTATATGTGCTAATTAATTTGAAATGCATTTAAAATCATATACAGACAACGTTACGATATGTACATTTTCTGTCTGTTAATTTTGAAATTTTATATTAATACTGATGAACTTTAATGTTCAAGTTAATAATGCATTGGATTATTTATTGATCTTTTTTATCTTTTTGCTTGACTTGATTTTCTTGCCTTGCTCCTTCAATAGCGTTTTTCATTCCAACTAAGTCAATATATATTCATATGAATCATAAAGTTTTTTTATTTATTAGAAAATTGGGGTTTTTTTTGCAGCTTAACTATATGCATGAGGGTATGAATGGGGTTTACAGAATAGAGAATAACGTGTCTATACCACAGAAAAATTGGGCCAACAAATAAAGAATAGAGAAAAATAGGTCAAAACAATAAAGAATAGAGAAAAGAGAACAATAAGGTGCTAAGATATAAAGAATAGAGAATAATAGCAAAATTTATAAGAATAGAGAAAATGGCTTAAAAATTAAAGAATATACAATTGAAGGACCCCTCATCCAGACCCTCCTATATTTCTAGGAGAACGAAAAGAACATATGATTTGAAGTTAAATTTACGTTCCACCAGTCACAAACTAGACCTGGGCTCTCGGTCATAAAATTTTACTTAGTACTCGGAGTACAAAATTTGTGCTCGAAACACCAAATCCAGGATTTTGATTGGTTGATTTCTGAGTCTGAGTACGAAAATCGTGCTCGAAAGTTTTATGACCGCAAGACCTGGCGATGCACCACTGTAGTATTTGCCGCGGGCAATCAGCAGTTATCCCGAAATCCATCGACTTCCATAATAGAATGGGAAAATTTATATTTTTTTATCACTTAGACCTGACGGTGCGTCACTGAACATTTGCAACTTGCTACAAGCACCATAAAAACTCTATATTATGTATCATTTAGAATTTGGTTTTAATAAAAAAAAATTATTGTTGTTTTTTTTTTGCAGATTAAATGTATTGATGAGAGACTGACAAGAGGATATGATTTGAGGTTTAATTCACGCTCCAACAGTCACCACCTAGACTTAAAAATGAATCAATGTAATATTTGCCACGGACATCGAACCCGTAACTGAGCAATCAACCCATCGACTATTATAATAAAACGGAATACATTATATTATATTGGTAACATACCTGTGTTTCTGTCCCATATTTACATCCAGGTTACAAATAAATAAATATTCAATAAAGATATGTCACATTTCTGACAATAACACGAATATTTAATTAATACTTGCAACATCTGACACACAATTTATAGCGTGGTGTTAGTTCTATTTATATGGCTGTGTATATTAAAAATATTATATGTATATTTGTAGAATAATTTGTTGTTATATTATCTGAATATTTTCCGTTAGTTGGATAATTATGGGCAAACATGGTAAATTATATCTACCTCTATTATCCATTACTTTCAATTGAGGGTTAACACATTATATAAACAGCTGTCTAGCTATTATTGAGGGCTTATGTTGCCCTCTATAGATATCTTTTCGGTTATCTTTGTTGATTGGTTGCTGTCGCATTGATGTATACACACATCTCCTTCTATCCATATATGATATCTATGGCTATATAATTTGTAGTTTTAATTTACGCATGCACGTTCTTTTACTATGTTTTAGTTGATTTTTCTGAACAAACTGTTGTTTTCTTTGTCGTTTCCTTTATCAAGTCAACTTAGTCATTATAATTACTTTCCTTTATAAGAAAAATAAATACAAAATCGGTTCATGGCGCGCGGAAGTAGACAATATCATTAATAGGGGTTGACAAGATACACATAATTATTTGTAGTATCAATATAAAAGACTCACATGCAAACACATTGTCACATGCAAACACATTGTCACATGCAAGCACATTGTCACATGCAAACACATTGTGACATGCAAGCACTTTGTCACATGCAAGCACATAGTCACATGCAAGCACTTTGTCACATGCAAGCACTTTGTCACATTCAAGCACTTTGTCACATGCAAGCACTTTGTCACATGCAAGGACTTTGTCACATGCAAGCACATTGCCACATGCAAGCACTTTGTCACATGCAAGCACATACTCACATGCAAGCACTTCGTCACATGCAAGCGCTTTGTCACATTCAAGCACATGATCACATGCAAGCACTTTGTCACATGCAAGCACATTATCACATGCAAGCACTTTGTCAAATGCAAGCACTTTGTCACATGGTCACATGCAAGCACATTGTCACATGCATGCACATTGTCACATGCAAGCACTTTGTCACATGCAAGCACATTGCCATATGCAAGCACTTTGTCACATGCAAGCACCTTAAATAACGATGAATCAATTCAGATATTTTTGGTATTTTCAATACATAAAGCTATATCTGATTTCTTTGTACAAATAAAATTGAGAATGGAAATGGGGAATGTGTCAAAGAGACAACAACCCGACCATAGAACAGACAACAGCAGAAGGTCACCAACAGGTCTTCAATGCAGCGAGAAATTCCCGCACCCGGAGGCGTCCTTCAGCTGGTCCCTAAACAAATATATATACTAGTTCAGTGATAATGAACGCCATACTAAACTCCAAATTGCACACAAGAAACTAAAATTAAAAATAATACAAGACTGACAAAGGCTAGAGGCTCCTGACTTGGGACAGGCGCAAAAATGCGGCGGGGTTAAACATGTTTATGAGATCTCAACCCTCCCCCTATACCTCTAGCCAATGTAAAAAAGTAAACGCATAACAATACGCACATTAAAATTCAGTTCAAGAGAAGTCCGAGTCTGATGTCAGAAGATGTAACCAAAGAAAATAAACAAAATGATAATAATACATAAATAACAACAGACTACTAGCAGTTAACTGACATGCCAGCTCCAGACTTCAATTAAACTGATTGAAAGATTATGCAGTGATCTGGAAGAATTTCTTCTCTTTGGGCCCAGGGCCCCCAAAAAGATAAATTCAATGGGCCATTTTTAGAATTAATGGGCCATGTTGTCAAATGAGTGGGCCATTCGTTTACAATAAAAAAAATAAAAAAAGTGTATATTTCACTGTACTTACAAGTATGAAATAATTAATATCATGGATATTGTTCCTGTGATTTTGTAATTTCAATTTCAATGAATATACAATAACTTCTTCCAAACCGGGCAATATTTACGATAACCTTTATTTACAATGTTAAAACTGGTACTGTTCCTTTGTTCATGTTCATGGTTTTTTTTACATTAAATTTGGGTCTTCGTCGATACCATACTTATTCCAGACGTTCCGTATTAGAGGACGTTTCTGGCATTTCCTCTGCACTTGTATTAATATTATTTCATCACGATGACAAGAATAACAGAAGAGAGCAACGTTAATTGATAAGACGCAACAACAATTCGCTGAAGGCATGTTTACAAAATGTCAAAACGAGCCAAAGACCAAAACAATATTGACAAGGACATTTAAGCCCCTTTTATGGAGACAAATACTATGTATACTGTTCATAAAAAGGCTTTTGGGTTTTTCAATCGAAATAATAGCAAGCTTACTTAGAAGATTATAATTAGAGAAGAATTCTCGCCTGTACTAGCCAATTTTCACAAATTTAAAGTTGTTTATAAAAAATTATATCATGAATGATGGTTAATTACGTTTTTGGGGTAATCAGTCATACCGCATGTTGGTATTATTACCATAAGAAAACACCCGAGACGTTCCAAAAATATATAGGTGCTCCTATCATTGGAGTAAACACTACACAGTTGTGTACTCAAACATGGCGGCACGAAATACGATCGGAAATCCATTTGACGATATCTCTACGTTTCAAAACGAAGTGAGAAATATCATGCGCCACGCGGGCGCTTACATTTGTCACTCTATGCGCCATTTCTGGTCGATAAGCGCAATTGGCGCAAGGCGCACGTCCTTCCCGATCACTGAAATTATGTCTTCATTATATGAATATCAGGCACAATCCTTCCCGTTAGAGGTTTAGTATCATACCATCATAACATATATGAGAAGAACATAACCCGTGTCATGCCAACAGCTGGTTTTTAAATAAATGTGTTTAGTGCCGATGCAAAGACCCTATAAGTGAATCAATATTAACGCTAAAATATGCAATCTTTAATGACCTGACAACAGTATCGTAACTATATCCCTTCTTAATAAGTCTATTTAAAGGTTTTGTTAGCTTCAGAGGTGAATACTGACATTTTTGTGCTTTATAAAGAATATTTCCATAAAAAATTGGATGTGAAATACCTGAACGTATAAGAAGTCTGCATGTTGAGCTATATTTACGAATGATGTCCTTATACCGATGATAAAGTTTAGTAAATGTTTTGACTAGTTTGTGATATCGAAAACCCTGGTGTAATAATTTTTCAGTAATACATAAATTTCTCTCGTTAAAATCTAAAACATTGTTACATACACGAGCGAATCGTACAAGTTGAGATATATAAACACCGTAAGATGGTGACAAGGGAACGTCACCATCTAAAAATGGATAATTAACGATAGGAAATGAAAAATCATCTCTAATGTCTGAATATAGGGGATAGTTTTTTTAAATATATATATCTGAGATAAAAACTATCTTATAACAATAGTACAATTAAAGTATTCTTGATAGATAGCTATTTACTACAATAGCAAACATTTACTAGAGGAAAAATTCGAAACAATACTAGAACGCATCCATCCATGCTGTATTTTTCACGGGGTTTTAAATAACGTTAAACATTCAGACCATTCGCACGCTACATAAAATAGGCTTATTGACAGACGGACAGTCCGATAGTAAAATCAAACCTCTCACTTGCTATCGTTTATTGCGTTAACCCTTGTTCACGCATATATATTGGTTGATGTTGTAGTCTTTCGGAATACCGGAAATGCATACTGTCTTTTCGAAATACATCTGTTCTTTTCTATGGCCACCTGCGTAATAGGTAATGATTTGATCTAATGAATATGTATTAGCGCCCAACAGTTGCTATAGAGATAAGTGTTCATCGAGACTGATTGATATCCTACATAGCTAAATAAATTAGAGTAGCATATGTTAAGATTTCTGAAATACAAGCTGTGTTCACATTGGAGATCAAGTAGATTTCAACGAAAAAAGTGACGGTCAATGGATTGGGCGTTTTTACGATTTTCAAACTGAACAATTTTAGCAAAATTAAAAAAGAGTAAAGTCCGTTTAAGCAGCAATTAAAATTCTACGTCCAGGAAAGATGGGAACAATCAAGGTGTTTCTAAAATTGTTCCTATTTTGTTTAAAATAACTGGTAAAATATTGGAAACAAATACAAACTAAAAGAAAAACAAAATAAATTAGATTAAAGAAAAACAAACTGAACCTTAAAGAATCGTTGAGGTGTGTTAAATGCAGATATAAGATGCTACGACGAAATTTTATCTTTTAATATACATTTAAGTGATAAAATATTTTAAGCGGTAATGTTGACGATTCTAAAAGAATAATACATGTTTGGGCTTGGTGTTTGTGATGTTGTATATAAGAAAGAATGATTATGCATATGCAATGCATTAATGGTATACTACTATTATTACATTACCGTGATTTCCCAGTGAAATAAAAACCGATAATTTCACATGTGAAATAAACTCGGTTATTTCACTGCTCGAGCTGACGTCATACAACAATAGGCGTTGTCGATGACGTCGCATAAAGGCAAATTGTGAATGCGTAGAAAAAAATATTGTTCTTTACATTTTCTACTTTAATGTTATTAAAAAGCCCATTGTCAATGTAATAAAAAGAATAACTAATAAAAGATTTAAAATATCGAAAAATATCCAACTCGTGACCGAACTGCACTGACAATTCTCGGAATTAACAAATACGAATATAGCTTAGGGTTTTGAACTATTTTCAAACTGGCTACAAACAAATAATCATGATTCACTCCATAAACTTCTTAAAAAAAAAGACTGTTTTCACATTTACATTTCGACTTTAGACAGAAAGCTACCTCTAATTTCCAAAATAGCACCTCAGAATGGAACAAACAGTGATTGCCTCTTATTTAGCATGTTGTAAAATCTAGTTTAAATATAGAGATATGGTTTCGTTATCCTCATACACTTATATATACGAGCACGAGAGTGAAGATAGATCTGAATTTTAATCAGATTGCATGTTGTAATGTTATCTATCGGAAGAAAGAGGGATGGGAGAGACAGAAACAAGAAAATTATACCCCACATAACACAGCAGCTTCATTAAGAATCCATGTAAGTTTTTTT